AGATAAAATATGTATAATATAGTTAGTTCCTGATTACCACGGGTATAATATGGGACCTATTCTGTGGCATACCATCAAATAGTTAAGTAGAACTGGTTCGATACGCAAATTTGTCCGTATCAGAGATATCATATCTAACTATATTTTGGGGGATTCTAGAGATATATACAAATTATTTGTCCAAATCTCTTGGAATAAAACGAGAGATACCGCACATTTTGCACAGTGTTGTTCTTTGACCTTACCGCTGGTTACAATTCAATTTTAGGAAGATGATGATAACGATTTTTCTCAATTATTCGTTAATTCGATCATATCTTGATGATTTTTTTATAAGCAACTGAGCTTTATCTAACTACGGGAAATAGAATTTTAGCTGTAGTCCCAATTAGTCAAGGAAGAGCAATAGGCCCGCCTTTATTGATAATTTTCACCGCTGAATAAAAGCCCATCTCAAAACGTATTGAGACCCCTTTTGTGAAAAGCTAGCATAATTTAAACATTTGTCATTCCAATATAAAGTGATTCATTTGTAGCATTTATCTTATTAATACCTGAGAAACAATACAAAACGTCGGTACACTGATTACATATTTTTGGTATTGATTAGAAAAATAACCTCAAACTTATAGCTTAGAAACCTAAATCATATATTTAAAATCATTTTGTATTATTTTCTGTTGCATTGTGTATTCCAAATTGTGAAAAATTTGGATTTAATTTTTTGGTGATTTTTTGACCTCTGTTAATGGCAGGCATAATTCAGCCTAAAAGCCGGAAGTATATTGAACAGTTATAATAAAAATTATTAGGGGACATATGTAGGTATGTTTATGTAAGGTCAAATATCGCTGCGCTATAGTGTGCTACCAACTCCTTTATTAGACGTCCTAGAGAGTTCATACCATGGACTAGTATCTAGATAAGATTCAACGGGGCGTTTTGGAAGAGAACGATGCGTTTTGATCAATTTCATTCGAACAGATGCGTAGGACTTTTCGAAATTGCTGCGTTTAACGTAAAAAATACGATGATACAGCGATGGGTGGTCCTGGTGGAAAATATAAAGGATAATAATAGAAGAACGAACTGGCGATATATCGAGGCTTTTGGTTGAAATATCTTAAAAGGTCCATGTGCAGTATTCCAAGTGATTTTAGATAGTCATATCTTTAACCATGAGTACTTTCTGGGCATAAATACAGTGGCTTTTATAAAAACAATATGTTTTCTTTCATGTGAAGTGCCTATAATGATAAGAATATCAATCGGACAATTCGAAAAATTATTAATAGGGAACCCATGTCAACATTTTTTTCAAAACGTCGAACCTATTTACTCAAAAGAGGATCTTCTTTTTCTGATTTTTATTGCATGAAAAGACTATTCATCAAGGGGTCTAAAACTTCTTCAAAAGTAGAATGGTATTGAAAGTCTTGTTTTGAAGATATCCATTTTCGATGACCTAAATTATGCTGAAAACAATGAATAGCATGGGTTGTCCCTATGGGAAAATAACATGGGATATGTTTTTTTAACTTTAACGCATTTTAATACATCTCCCTTTCAGAAATTATAAATATAGTGTAGAAGAAACTTTCGATATGTTCAAATTGAGAAAAACAAGATCCTCTTTTTAGAAAATGAGCTTAACATTTTAAAAAAGTGCCAGGGTTGGGTCCTTATCCATAATTATTCAGAGAGATGGATTGATAATTTACTACCATGGGAATTTTACTTGAAAGAAAACATATTGTTTTAATTAAAACCACTGTATTGATAGCCAGAAAGTACCCATGGTGAAAGATATGACCGTCTAAAATCACTTGCCATACTGCACATGGACATTTGCATCTTCTCACATCAAGGGACCAAAACGCCGCTAAAACGAGAGACTCTGTACACAAAAACAATGTCTCGACTGAAAGGTAAGCTGGTAAGGGTGTCTATTTTGAGCACCTAATATGAAGTGCCTCTGAAATGGGTTATTTGTAACTGCACTGTATATCCAAAGAGTAAACAGATAGAAAGAAACCACCCTTGGTCATGTTAACAGCAGCAATTATTTTCAGATATGACCTTAAAAGCCCTTCAAATAGGGGTGTGGAATTTTATAACCCTCTTAAAACCTGTTAAGGCACTTAAGAAAAGTTTCCTTAGAGTTTCTACCCTCACCGTTCTCTTTTTCGAACTCAATATCCATCCGACCCGAAGAGAATTGCTGCTGTTAAGATGGCCCAGGAGGACACATTGACTATTGATTTGGTGTAAAATTGAACTTGATTTTGACCAAACACTAAATTTTTATCACACCATCGGTGGGATATAGTCGTCATACTGGTCCTGGTCGTGGTCGTGATCGTGGTCGTGGTCGTGGTCGTGATCGTGATCGTGATCGCCCCGCTTTTTGTCATCGCTGTTTAAGGAAAACTGCTCGTCAGATTTTCTCCAAATTCGCAGAGATGATAGAGCATATGAAGTACTAGAGCTGATTAACTTTTGGGTGGCCATCTTGTTTTCTGGCGGCCATTTTGAAGGTTTTTCGAAAAATCTTGTCATCGCCATTTCAGGAAAACCGCTCATTGGATTTCCTTCAAATTTACACAAATGATAGAGGATATCAAGTACTAGAGCTGATTAACTTTTGGGCGGCCATTTGTTTTCTGGCAGCCATTTTGAAGATTTTTCGAAAAATCTTGTCATCGCCATTTCAGAAAATCCGCTCATCGGATTTCCTTCAAAGATTGGGTATCGATATGGCGAACTTTTTGAACACACGTTTCTCTTAAACCAGTCATCAAAAATTTCTGAAAATCTTACAAATTGTCAATTGAATGGCCATCTTTTGAATGGTAACAATATAATTTGAAATAAATATACATACTTTCATCTATATTGTTTTAAAAAGTACATCAAACACTTGTTTTGTTCTTGGTATCATGTTTCCAGAGTGAAATGAAAAGTATCTTGTTAATGAAATAAAAGTATTTTTTTGATTTTTATCTATTTTGGGGGGATTTTGTTTCAATTTTTTGAATACTTTTTCAAAATGAACCAAAAATTCCTTTGTATAACTTTAATATTGAGAGGTCCAAAAACATGTTGTATATGGTATTTTGTTCCAACAAGGTTCGGAAAGACATTTTATTTCATTCTCAAGAATTGGTAGAAAGGAGCAAAAACAATTGCACTAAATAAACAAAAAATGTTAACAAAAACAGTTATATCAAATATTTCTAAATAATTTTCGCATAAAGTGTTGTCAATCAGTCAACATTACATAAAATACCATGTTTTTTTACAGAATGTTTTCAATGATTGGTTTAAGAGAAAAACATTGTTGAATTCAGTTCTCCATATCGATACCTATCCTTTACACACATGATAGAGGATACGAAGTACTAGAGCTGATTAACTTTTGGGCGGCCATCTTGTTTTCTGGTGGCCATTTTGAAGGTTTTTCGAAAAATCTTGTCATCGCCATTTCAGGAAAACCGCTCATCGGATTTCCTTCAAATTTACACAAATGATAGAGGATATCAAGTACTAGAGCTTATTTACTTTTGGGCGGCCATCTTGTTTTCTTGTTCTTGAAATGTGTAAACATAATAGGAGAACAGTTTTCCTGGTTCATAGTGTCTGCCTATTTGATGGTGTGCTCTCGTTCATGTCCTGTGCCTTGTTTCACATTTGAGAGTTCAACCATGATACTTGGCGAATCAATGTAACTTTGGATAAGCTTTAAAATGATATATGACACATACTATGACGATACTGGTATATGTCTGCCTAGGGGGGGGGGGCATACTTTCGGGACACCCTGTATATGACTAAACAGTATTACATGATACTGTTTTCAACACTCAAAATGTCGTCCAAATTGACGACAGAATTTTGCTCCGCATATCCATGATACTGGTTACCTTAGTAACCATAACTTTGTTAATACTGATTCGATTGTCTTGAAACTTTCATTGAATAAAGTCAGATATATGTACCTTATTTTGTTTCATGACGAACAAGCAAACGAAACAAAAGTTATAGCAAAATTAGCAATACTTATTGAACGCCCTGTGCATGTTGTTTGCTAACGGCATTGCTTTAATGGCAAAAAGGTGTGTCTAAATATATACCAACCAGTTCTGTACCCTGCGTTTGAGGATCAAGACCTCAGAGGCAGAGTATAGTATTCAAATATTAATACAAAATAGTATCATCGATTATACAACATATGCCAATCGGTATAGTATTACTGTTCTGTTCAATCGAGGACATTAAAAAATATAAAACCAATAAGCTATCTACATTAAACTACACTGGAAATACTTGTGGGATTAAATTGATTACTACATAAAGTAGCACTAATGAAAAAATAATTGATAAACAGACATGACTGACACCTTTGAAATAAATTTGGTACCCTGTAAAACTCTTTAAGTGTCAATTTTTCCAACTCTACAATATTTTGTACTCTTGCTCCACAAACACTGTTGTCATGTTGCAAGGGTAGTCAGATACCTGGTCAAAGTTATTGCTTATTTTTACACAAAATGAAACTACTTTTTATGGGGTGGTTAAGGCCAAATATGCACAATATTCATAAAGAGTTAAAATTTTGAGAGCAAACGCTGCAGAACTTTTGTATCAACAATCGTATAATCGGAGTAAAATTAATCAAGTTAAAATGTTTTTACCAAAATACGCAACTACTGCAACGTTTCTTTTTACAACTTTCAATTTGTAAATTACCTGTCCGTCGTATAACTAATATTTTTTTTTTTTACTTCTAGACTGTACGTACTTATTGGAGTCAAAAATGTTCTTTATCACACGTTTAAAATTATTTATCACAAACGACCCTACTTATAAAGGCCTTTGAAATCCGTTTAAAATGCATTTCTTGTTGTATTTACATTAAATCGTTCTATACAGAACATAAAAAACGTATTGACATTTGGAACAAACAGTCGGGCTAACATTTTATTTACCTTTCTATATAGGCTACGTGTAGACTGTTCGGGCAACAATCCGAAGTATAACAAACTGAAAATGGATTACTATACACATACACCGCCAATCTCAAACAGCATCAAACACAATGCTGCATGATGATGTTGCAAATTGGGGGTGTAGGTAGGATCTATATATATCAGGAAATATCGGCAAAGAGCTTCAAACAAGAATGAAGAAACTATGAGTTTTGAAGAAGCAATGAAGCCACCATTTGAGAAGTTAAAAATACGCCATCGGGAATTGCTGCGAAGGTAAAATGAAAAAGCACCGTTATTACCTATTTAGGGAGAAGTCAATCCAGATATTTTTATTGCTAATACATAACCACCCGATTGATTTCCCATGCAAAACTATGTTTTCTTAACGAGGCGTATAGCCTTTTTATTTTTTCGTGAAGCCACTCAGTAGACCCCTGTTTAGTAAACAGTGTTAATATAAAACAATGTATTGTGGCGTTTATAATTACAATTTCGCGTGCAAACATTGGGTAGACGTTGTCATTACCGGATGCCCAAACGTGTCAGGAACACATAGATACTCGAATGATGTTGATTCGACATCAGGGTGCAGAGTAATCGTAATTTTACTGAGTGGCTTCACGAAAAAATAAGCAGCATTATAGGCCACCTTAAGCATGTGTAACAGTCGGGCTTATTTGTGGAAAAATGTGGTAGTGTGGCTAATAATAGACCCCTGTTTAGTAAACAGTGTTTATATAAAACAATGTATTGTGGCGTTTATAAGCCCAAATAAGATGTACATTAAAGTTCAAGTGTTACTATAGGAATGTTACGATGTTAATATCTCTCAAAACTCAAAAGTCCATATAAGCTAATGATGATCATTGTTATAACATCGTGTTAACTCAAAGTTCATGTCAGCTGAAGATGATCACTGTAATCACTGATTATTATCTCCCAAATGCCAACGTTGATAATGTCTATGCTGAAAACAATAATAATACTTTAGTGGCCTTCAATAACAAAAGTTTACATATAACATTTATAAGTCTCGTCTCTTGTATGTAACTTAAACCTGGAAATATAGTATGCAAACTTTGGCGATCTACAATCATCTAAGTCAAACTATCAGCTCTTGAAACGGCTATCTCATGGATCCTCCTCTCTGTGTTGTGTTTTCACATTCGTTCCCGGGGCTAAGACTGAGAACGCGAGCTCAAAATAAGCCCAAGACCTTGCTCTACTTGAATCCAGTGAGCAACTTGGGGGACGAACTTATTTTTTAAATGGGTTTAGCTGCTGACTTAAGTGTTATTGAAACTATTAAACTATAATTTAACTTCGATCATCTAAAATCACCAATGTCTAACTCTCAGCTCTGTGAACGGCTATCTCCTTGATCCTCTTCTCTGTGTTGTAGTATAATCTAACTTCGATGATCTTTATCATCCAAGCCAAACGATCAGCTCTGTAAATCAGCTCTGTTGTAGTGTAATTTAACTTCATCAATCAATCAACAATACACGATATCAACTGCTAAGTCCAAGAACTTCCTCCACAATAAATTATCAGGCTACCTACAAATTTAGCATGCACACAATTGCATTGTCAAAATATCACAAGTCAAAATATTTGCCCTCAAAAAATTTCTAAGACCACTTTAAGCTATTTGAGATGTCAATTTGATGGAATTTTAATTAGTTTTAAATTTCGGGGTAAATTGCAGGGGTGCCACCTAAATGACCAATTTTCACATTCGTTGCCGGGGCTAGGGCTGAGAACGCTAGCTCAAAATAAGCCCAAGACCTTGCTCTACTTGAATCCAGTGAGCAACTTGGGGGACAAACTTATTTTTTAAATGGGCTCAGCTGCTGACTTAAGTGTTATCGAAACTATTCTATGATTTCATTTATTTAATATTATATCTTAATTTTGCTCAAGTTCACCGCTCTACTTCAAATAAGACAAAATCGTAAAAATACTTAAATGTTGTTTGTGAAAACAATCTCACATACGAATCGAATAGTATTGCAATATAATTATGTTTATACTTGCATTGTTCGAACAAGTAACAAACGAGTTTTATGATTTTTTTATTTAGGATCCCTCATGTGAAGTTCTATGGTATGGGGGAAGATGGATTTTACTCGGTACACATAGTGGAAGAATGTTTAGAAAATACATCGATTTTCATTAAACAAGAAATATCTGAGTACCGCCTTCACTTTGTTCCCTGGATGAAGGATGAATCTATCAAATTGCTTGGTTGTGCAGGAGGGCCTCTACATAGCAGGCCGCGTGACATTGGTGATGAAGGTTTGCTTGATGACTTTGTGGCAAACCCAATGGGGACAATTGGGGGACTCGCTGCTCTGGTTGATAAATATGGTCCGTCAAGTCAAAAGGAGATATATGCTCTCACAGCAGACCATGTGGTTAGGAGATACGATCCTTGTGCTGAGTATATGTCTTGGTCCAAGGAAGATCAAAGTGACAAATATGTTATTGGTAGAGAAGTCCCATACAGAATACCTTTAAGAATTGAAGATGATGAAAATGATCAAGTTCTGGGCGGTGTTGAGAAGATGGAAGAACAATATAACCTTGGCAGTATCAGAGTAAATCATCAAGAAGAACATGAATACAAGGTAAATAGGAAGAACAAAACAAGGAAATACATTGATGATGAAGATGATCAAGTCCTGGGCGGTGCTGATGAGGCGGAAGAACAACAATATGACATTGCCTGTATCAGAGTGGATGGTGAAAAACAACGTGAATACAATGCCTGCTCTAAATGTTGTTCTTCATATGATATGATAAAATCACTAGGTACAAAAGTGGTGATGCTCGACTCCTCTAGGAAAGGGATCATTTTGAGCCTGGATGTAGCAGGTGAGATACATATCGGGAGAAAAACTGCATGGATAGACAACATAGTAGCTATAGCTGCAGACACAGATTATTCTGATATTCCATATACACAGCCTGGAGACAGTGGAACCATAGTATGTGTTACAGACACAGAGGATCAGGGACATTACCCAAACTGTTTCATGATATTTGCAGGGTGGAACAAAGCAAATATATACAATAGATGGAATAAACCGGTGACTCTTGCATTCTCCTTACGTGATGCTTTAGACAAGTTAGCTGAACAAGTGAATGTAAATGCGGAATCAAAGAAACAGTTTAGATTATCTTGCTGTAAGGAGGAAGGCAATTCAAAACGCAGGTAAGACGCAAATCTAGGATGAACAATACCAGGCCCGAAGCCAGGGGGCTCGTACGAGCCTCCCTCTGATATCTCCAAAAAATGTGGACCTACCGTTTTGCTTTCTTGAAGCAAAACTTGCTCTGTAAGATAGTTTGACAAACAACATGGTTTCTAGAAGGTAGACACTAAAACTAGGATTTATTGAGGTCAAATGACAAACTACACATTAGTGATGGAGGATGGCAAACGGAAATGTAAACTTCCAAAGTTCATATCATTATATCCCCCTTCTAAGAATAAACTATACTGTTCTTTAAAAATATCCATGATACTAATCTAATGAATCTCAAAGTCCTTTATGTGAACCTATATTACTACTTATAAGTATATGCAATAGTAACTTAATAAGGCTCAATGTTTTTATGTTACAACCAGTTCTTTTGACATCTTATCACTGGTATCTTAGTGGTTTAACGACAGTTCTTCCATACCGTGTTCTCCTAGGTGGAGTTGCTTCAGGTTGGGCACTTGGAGACAATGGAGTCTGATCAGGCACTGGGGGACTGGGCAAGGGACTGAAGGGAGTCTGATCAGGACCTACAGCCATGGGCATGGGGTGGGTAGAGCCTGAGTCAAGGTTGGGATCGAGTTTATCTGGAATTGGGATATCCTGGTTGCTGGTAGTTTTCACAGGGATATCAAACTCCTCCTTGGTCTTTCTAATGTCCTTTCTATTTCGACGCAAGGTGTTTCCCAAGGAGTTTCTTACTTGGTAAGAACGGGGATGTGAATCATGTGCTACCACCATAGCTGGTTTCCACTCTTCTCCACTCTTATATCTGACCATTTCATTTGGCTTTAAGACTGGCAGATCTTTTCCCGCCTTCTGATCGTAAAATCGTTTTTGTGTTAGTTTTCTTTGTTCTAGCTTTTGTGGAACATCTTTGACCACTTCGGGAGTCAAAAGCTCTGGATTAATTGGGAGACGGGTCCTGGTGCGTCGGGACATAAGAAGTTGTGATGGGGAAGCACTAACTCCATCTATGGGCGTATTTCGTAACTCCAACAGAGCCAAGTATGGATCTCTTTTATCTTCATGTGCTTTTTTAAGAATGTTTTTTGTTGTCTGGACAGCCTTCTCTGCGGCGCCATTGGACTGGGCGAAAGTTTGAGATGACGTATCGTGTTTAAAGCCATATTCGGTTGCAAACTCAGAGAATTCATGGCTAGAGTATTGGGGCCCATTATCAGATCGCACTTTCTGCGGTATGCCATGTCTAGCAAACTGGGACTTCAGAGCGTTTATGGTTGTTTTCGAATCCAATTCTTGTAAAAGGTTCACTTCCACGAATGTAGAGTAGTAGTCTACAGTTAGAAGATAATCATATGATAGTATATGAAAAATGTCAGATCCTACTATTTCATAGGGGCTTTGTGGTACTTCGGAGCATATCATAGGCTCCTTTGCTTGGGCTTTAGCATGGCGCTGACAAATGGCGCACCTCTCAACAATGTCTGCTATATGCTCATTCATGCCAGGCCAAAACAAGATATCACGTGCACGTCGTCTTGTTTTCTCTATTCCAAGGTGAGATTCATGGAGGGCTTCTAGCATCTTTGGTCGTAATGTGGTAGGGACGACTATTCTAGATCCTTTGAGAATGATGCCATTATCCACTGTTATCTCTTCTCTAAAGTTCCAATATTGCTTTAGGTCATTGTCACAACATTTTCTGTTATTTGGCCAACCCTTTTGTGTTGTATGCAACAACTTTTGCAAAATCACGTCATTTGCTGTGGCCTGTCTCATTTCACTAAGGCGTTCTTGGGAAATCGGGAGATTATCAATGGAAGATATTTCATATATTTCCTGTGTAGGGTCAGGGTCATGGATAAATGCGCGACTGAGTGTATAAGCAAGAAATAGTTTATTTCCTGGTACATATTTCACATTGAGGTCGTATTTTTGCAGTTTTAACATCATTTTCTGGATCCGCAATGGGGCGGTGGCAAGAGGTTTGCGGAACAGACTCTCGAGTGGTTTATGGTCGGATTCCACAGTAACGTTTTTTCCATATATGTACTGGTGAAATCTTGTCGCAGAGAATTCGATTGCTAGCATTTCTTTTTCGATTTGTGCATAGGACTTTTCTGCAGAAGTAAGCGATCGTGACGCATAATGAATGGGGTGTTCTTCTTGCCACAAGGTAGCGCCTAGGCCCTCTGATGATGCATCACACGAGATTGTCACAGGCAGATTAACATCGTAAAATCGGAGTACAGGTGCTTCAGTGAGTTTTGTTTTGAGTCTTTCAAAACATTGTTCATGCACTTCATCCCATTGCCAGGGGATGTCTTCTTTTAACAGGTCGCGTAGTGGAGCATTCAATGTTGACAAATTTGGTATGAATTTACCGAGATAAGTCACAGATCCCATAAACCGACGAAGATCCTGCTTAGATATTGGAGTAGGCATTTTCAAGATGGCCTCTATTTTGCGTGGATCCGGACGTAATCCTTCGGCACTGAGAACATGACCGATGTATGTCACGCTTGATTGGGCGATTTGCACTTCTCACGATTTAGAGTTAAGTTCATAGCTTTGGCTCTTTCTAAGACAGCCGTCAGTCGATCATTGTGTTCATTCATATCCCTTCCATAAATCAAAATATCGTCCATGATTACAGCACAGCCCGGTATGTCGTCAAACATTTGGGACATTTTGGCTTGGAAAACTTCAGGCGCACAAGATATACCAAATGGCATTCGTAGGAATCTATAACGGCCAAATGGCGTATTGAATGTCATCAATTTCGAACTTTCTTCATCTAACGAGACTTGATAGAATGCTTGACCGGCGTCTAGGGTTGAGAATACTGTGGCTCCCTCTATTTTGGCAGAGACTTGTTCAATTGTTGGATATGGAAATTGTTCCCTTTTTATGGCTTTATTCAGGTCCCTAGGGTCAAGAACTAGGCGGATTTTCCCTGGTTTTTCCACAATTAACATAGAGGACACCCAATCAGTAGGCTCAGATATAGGGGTGATAATGCCACTTGACTCCATTCGCGAGAGCTCACTTCTGACAAGCTCTATTTGGGAATAAGGGACACTTCGAGATGGGTGGATTACAGGCGATATATTGGGATCCAGGGTGATATGGCATTCCCCAATGTGACCTAATCCCGAAAATAGGTCATTGTGCTGGTCGAGAATTATTTTGGGATCTTGCGATGTTATTGAATATAATGCACTGATCAGCCCCAGCTCTAAACAACTGCCCAGGTTGAGGATTGGCTCACTTTATTGATCCACAATCATGAAGTTCACCTGGTATTCATGATTATTGTGTGATATGGGGAGGGTAGTTTCACCCCGACATGGTATTTGATGGCCGGAGTACGAAATCAGTCTTCTGTCAACTTGGGATATGGGTGGAGGGCTTGAAATATTTTTGTAGGTCGCATATGGTAGTGTATTGCACTGCGCACCAGTATCTAATTTGAAGGAGACGTTGCAGTCATGTATACTGGTATGCAGAAACATCCCTTGACTGGAACACGAAGTTGACGAGATACTGTTAATGAAGAATGCTTCAACATCTTCTTCCTGTTCTACAGTATGTACTTTCTGACGATTGTATTCCCGTTTTCGGCATTTTTGAATAAAGTGGTTCGATCGCTTGCAATAATGGCACTGTTTCCCAAATGCGGGACACTTTGATTTGTCATCTGGGTGGGTCTGTCCACAATTAGGGCACTCGCTACTACTGGTTGATGCTAATTTGGAGCTATTCATGCCTGACCTTGACTTTTGATAGGTTGCATCAACTGCTGCAGCTTTTCGGAATTCAGTCCTGTGTAACTTTGAGAATTCGGCAGACTGGCACATTTTAACACATAGATCAAGTTTAAAATCCTCTACTTGCTGTGATTTATCCAACAGCCGAGATTGTAATTGTTCATCAAAGATACCAGATATTATTTGATCCCTGATCAGAGATTCTTCCAGATCGCCAAACTCACAATCTTTGGCTTTGAGGCGTAAGTCAGTAATGTATTGGTCCACCGTCTCACCTTCTTTTTGGTGACGCTTGAGAAAATAATGTCTCATCATAGTAATGTTTTTTCTGGGTTCACAGTAGGCACTGAATTTTTTCTCAACATCCTTGAATTTTGTTTTGTCCTCTGCATCAGTGAATGAGAATGAATTATATATCGGGATACATTCCTCCCCCAAACAGTTCATATATATAGCAAGCTTGACTTCTGAAGATTTTTCATTCTTCTCTGTTGCAGTCAAATAAAAGTCAAAAGATTGCTTAAATTGTCTGTAGTTTTCTGCCAGATTTCCAGAAAGTCTCAGAGGTTTTGGTTTAGAGAATAGCTCAGACATGATGAATTGACACTACTCTGTCCAAATGCTTGATCTAATGTTCGAGATTTAGATGATTTAGCTGTTTTATCCCACTTTATGACACCATGTAAGATAGTTTGACAAACAACATGGTTTGTAGAAGGTAGACACTAAAACTAGGATTTATTGAGGTCAAATGACAAACTACACATTAGTGATGGAGGATGGCAAACGGAAATGTAAACTTCCAAAGTTCATATCATTACAGCTCTTCCCCAAGTAAACTTGGTAATTAAAAACCCCTAGCAGAATTATATATATGTTATGCCTGGTAGTACCGCAAAATGCGTTCCTGGTCTAGTTCTCTATGTTATGATTTTTTAACACCTTATCCTGCAGAAATTGAGACTATTATTTCACAGCAACTTTGGAGAACGATTCTGAATAGCGCATTCTTGCTGTGAAACATAATCTCTATTCCAGTAGGATAATGTCACACATTTTACCAAAAATACCATTTATAGTCCTTAGTAATGTAAGCATGTTGAGTAATAAGGATCGATCATAATAAGGATAAATAACTCTCCGATTGAGATTGTTACGTCCTTTAACCTACTTTCTGACAAAAGTCGATATACATTTCACATATTAGAATCATGAATCAAATAAATAAACTATAAAATAAAACCAACAGAACAATATCGTTTGGAGATTGTATCAAAAATAAAATGAATTTCATGTTTTGAATTTAAATTTTTATGTTTTAGTGTGGATTCAAGGAAGGAGATGACGATCAATGATCCCGTGTACTTGGAATATTTTAATAAGGCAAAAGAAGAGGGCGCGCGTTTGGTCAACCGGGGTCGAGTAATGATCGTTGGTCAATACGGCGTGGGTAAAACTAGTCTCATGAAGCGTTTACTTGGTCAGGGTTTTAGTGAGGAATACAATACGACTGATGGTATAGATGCATCGTCGATTGATATTAAGACAACACAAGGTAAATGAGATTAAGTTATTTACTTCTAACAAAGAAATTAAGAAAGTAATTACAATACACTTGCCTGGAACTGCCTGGTTACGAGTCTGTAGAATTAATTCCCTGTACAATATTATACAAATATTGAATTCTGTGGAGTTGAATATCTTTATATATTTATGAAGGTGTATTCACCGGAGCCCGAAGGACGAGGTGAATACATTCTTCACAAATATATATTATACAGTAATTAAACGATCACAGAATTTAATATTTGTTTTATAATTTCCTCATTAAAGTAGTACACAATATTAGAGTTAGAAGTACACATAATTGTTATGCTATGACGTCTAGTTTCAAAGTTTTTCCAAACGTTTGCCAATATTCTGTTATAATTCACGATCTCACACGTCACACCATTGATAAAAATTAGATTCGGAACTTCCATGTTGAAGTCCATAGTCTTCGTGCTTTGATTTGTTGACTTTTTGAATACATTTGTAAATCTTTTATCCCGTGTTCGTTATGCACTTGTGGACCTTTTCTTAGGAGGACTTCCTGAAATAATGCTTCACCGTCTATCATATCGGATAATAATACTTTTTACTAAATTCCCGGGAATTAAGTGATATGACGTCATTTTGACTTCAATAAATAGTGGTATTCACTAAAAATGACATCACTGCCGGTGAATACACTCTTCACACGTTTTCTAAGCAGGAAGACATGGAATACCTCTTTATATTTTTAGTCACATGGTATCTAATTGACCAATGAGAGAACGAGTATCACGGCATGGACATAGAAATCTAAATTATTCTTTTCAGGGTTCGAGTTTGTGGAGGTAACTGATGACATTCAGAAAACATATGATGAGGCAATTGCAAAAGATGTAGTGCAATCTGATACAGATCAAAAATCTGGTATGACTTTTTGTATTCATTTACGGTTCAATGAAAATAAATAGTACCTGGAGTGTGTGAATCTAGATATTTATAAAATGGCTTATAATAAATATATATAATTTATACTTGTCTGATTAATTGATTTGTGATACACATTTTATAAGTTTACAATGCCTTGAATTATTCAATTTCATGCCTTGAATATAGTAACTCAGTGATGTTATTTTGGGGATCGTTCGCGTTTTTAATTAAGTTTAATTAATTCTGCTTTCTCAAACAGTTTCTTCAAATATTCGTGGAACTATTTTTGATCTTTGAGGCCGAGGATTCCAGAACTATGTTTATACTTCAACTATTATCAAACAACTAGATATTAGTCCATGGTATGACTTCCGAATATAAAGGATTCGTAGCACACTATAGCGCAGCAACATTTTAAGCAATATTTATAGAGGTGCATATATCTTTATTCTTTGAAAATACCATTTGCTGAAAAAAAAACTCCCGCTTTCGGGTCGAAAAATGTCTCATCACAAGGGGTCAAAAAACGTAAAACTTTTGATTCCAACTTTTATACATTTTATAAGACACATACCGTTATTCTAAGCATAGGAACAAAAAATCGATTGTCATAATGTAAAAATATGCTATAATTTTTCTGTAGATGTCAGTGTTTAATTAGTGTAATTACGTAAGTGTGTTTCTCAGATTTTGTTTGATTTTTCAAATATGAGTCAAGCAGATTCAACAAAATTGTGTGAAATATTTAGGTAATTTATGATTGGGAACATATTAGTTTTCTTATCATTTAAAACATTTTATTAACAGAATTGTTCCATAATCGCAAGGGGTCAAACAACAAATTATTGTTCATGTTTCATAAAACATAATACAATAACAAACAGGTAAGATTTATATCTAATTAAATGTTACAGAGGTATTGCAATGTTAATATATTCCAATGGCATGTCTAATTATCAATTTAAGTCATATGCAATCGAACGCCTTACAATTATTGCTGGTCATCATCAAGTTTTCTGATGGTTGTTTCTTCTTTGACCTTACCGTTGGATATAATCAAATTTTAGGACGATAATGATAACGATTTTTCTCAATTTTCATGTATTCGACCAAGTCTTGATGGTTGTTTTATAAGCAACTGAGCTATATCTAACGACGAGAAATAGATTTTTAGCTGTAGTTCCAATAAGTCAAGGAAAAGCAATAGGTCCTCCTTTATTGATAATGTTCAATACGGAATAAAAGTCCATCTCAAAACGTATTGAGACCCATTTTGTGAAAAACTAGCATAATTTAATTCTTTGTCATTCTAATATAAAAGTAATTCATTTGTAGCATTTATCTTATTAATACCTGAAAAACAATACATAACGTCGATACACTGATTACAAAATGTTTTGGTATTGATAAAAAAATAACCTCAAACTTATAGCTTAGAAACCTAAATAATATATTTAAAATCATTTTGTATTCTGTTGCATTGTGTACTCCTAATTGTGAAAAATATTTTATTTTTTGGTATTTTTTTACCTCTGTTAATGTCAGGCATAATTCAGCCTAAAAGCCGGAAGTATATTAAGCGGTTGTAATATTATTTGGGAACATACACTGTATGTAGGTACGTTAATGTTAGGTCAGATATCGCTGCGCTATAGTGTGCTACCAGCTCCTTTATTAGACGTCCTAGAGATTTCATACCATGGATTATATTTTTCTCCATTGTTTTAATTTCACGTTTGTGATCCTTAGGTTTTTCTTAAATTTCAAAGCTCGAGTTTTATGTTTGTATATTTCTATATTAATTTTTTCATTTATCTCGTGTATTATGTTAGGTTTCATTTTGATAATATGCTCATTCGAAATACATCTGATGGGTAAAGAATTGAAGAAAAGGGCATCGTAATGACAAAATGAATAGATTACTCCAGTGTCCACACTCCTGGTACATGTCAGCAATCGAAAATACTTTTTGAAAAATAAAATGTATCAGTTGCCTACACAGAGTAAGTGTAAGGCAATATGCACTGAGGGCTTGATAAATCAATTATCTGCTTTTAAAATGGAAAATTTGCACCTTTTTGTAACCATATATTCAGTCCGTAAGTTTCCTGTTTTTACCTAACCCCAAAAATATGCACGATATTATCATTTTTATCCTGCAAATCTCTATTTAGTAGCTTAAAAGTAGGTCAGAGTTGTTCGTAATTTACCCTAAATAATTCAAGGCCACAAGACATTCAATCCAATGCTACCTAATCTCCATTTTTCTTGGACGAGGTCGTCATTTTTACGAAGATATCTGTTATATTCTGTAGTAATGTAAGCAAACCAAGTGCTTTGCAAATTGGTGATCTATAACATCCGTCTATAATATATTTCCGATTCAATTAATTGTATACAGGTGCTAAAACGAGACCTACCACCAGATCAATGGCTCTTCGGAACGTCTCTTCTAATGCTCCATCAGATACGTTAGAACCTGATGCTGTCCAAGATAACATTTCCGAAAGTAAACAGGAACAAGTGATGGACTTAGAATCTGATGATCCTAAAAAGCCTGATGCTGCCTTGGATAACATTCACGAACGTAAACGACAAAAGTTGATAGACTCAGAATCTGTTGATGTTAAAAAGCCTGATGCTGCCTCAAGTATCATTCCCATACCTATACAACACCAAATAAAGGAATTAGAATCCGATGATGTAAAAAATCAGGTATGCTCAAATAACATTGATAAAGTCAATTTAAATAGAAAATAAAGCATCCAAAAAGGAAGTACGTGCGAATTTTTTAACAAAACATGATTTGTACTTGATGATCTTTGATCTTTCTGTTTCCTAAATGTTGATATTTGGTTAATTATATTTTCACGGGATAAGGAGGAACCGCTTAAGTTATCCTTCTGGGACTTCGGTGGCCAGCATGTCTTCAACACCACCCATCAGACATTCTTGACTAAAAAGGCGATCTACCTTCTTGTTGTGGATCTAACTCAGGGACTGGACGATCCGGTTAAGACCTACATACAGTCACATAAAGAGATTTCAGGGGAAAAACTTGATCCTAATGCTCCAAGAACTGTTAAAGGTAATGCAAGTTGGCCTATTATTATATTAAATCTAAACCTTGCATAGTTTGTACCACTGTTATGTGTTAACAGTGGTACAAGTGTGTCACTTTCAACAAAGGACCGCAAGTTGTTTGTATAATGAATTGACCTGAAGTCGCGCAACTATTAGTTCAATCTAAGAATGCATAACTCATCTTTGATTCCATGGTTTTATTTTTATTTATAAAGTATTGATTCGCGGAAAATTGATTCACGACATGTCAAATTAGTTTTGCCGCAAAACCAGACACGTGCTATATCTCCGATATTTTGGTAAATGAACTTTTGAAAGTCTTGGTAGTTCACCATCGTAAAGTGTGGCCTTCATACAGTATACAGTAAGGTAGCATTAATATATTATAAATAGAGTAAAACGGGTATAATACATTCTCTAATTTAGTACTTTATCGTATTAGACTACCTGGAGTACTGGCTGAACTCTATTCACACCCATACTGGAGATTCACCTGAGGCGGAAAGCCTAAGCCCACCAGTGATAATTGTCGGTACACATAGGAATGATGTCAGTGAGGCACGTATATATCTTGGAAATATACCCGTTTTAGTAGTTACTAAAATATGGCCTGTGAATTTGAATATGTCAGTCGCTTAAAGTTGAACCTCCAGATGATTGCTTCGTCAATGTTTTAGACCAGACAACTAAATGTTGCTTCAAATCGTATTTTTGATATTTACGGGCACTATTTTCTTGTATTATATGTTGACTAATCTAAATCGTTGTTAAAATTTAAAACACTTTTAAAAATCATCAGCCATCTTTCAATAAAACAAAACATACCAATTATATAGTCAAAACAAGAACACGTATTATTTCTTTTTAACTGTAAATATTTTAAGGAACAAATGGAAAGGTACTTCGACAAGCTGAAGGACAAAATCGCTGAAAAAGTTTATGAAAATCACGTCTGCCAAAAATACATCGGGGTTGATAACATGAATGAAGTTGATCCTGAGTTGCTTTGTTTAAAGAAATTGATTGAAGAGAAGGCAGCAAAACACCCTCATTGGAAGGAAGAAGTCCCGATAAAGTGGTTGCTTCTGGAAAAGAGGCTCCGTGACACCACCGATCTTTCTTTCCTTACTTTTGAAAAAGTTGTTGAGCATGCCATACCATTTAAGATGAATGAGAAAGATGTCAGAGTCTTTTTGATATTTTATCATTCAATTGGAAAAATGATCTACTTCGATGATGAGAGTATCAATAATATAGTGATCTTGGATCCTCAATGGCTAATAAACGTATTCAAGAGCATTATAACAGTACCAAGATTCGATAGAAAGAATAATGAAGAAATCAATCTCGACTTCTTGACTGAATTAGAAGAAAGGGGAATACTTAAAGAAAAGTACATCGAGCCTATATGGAAAAAGCGATTCCCAAGTATAGGTTTGGAACGTGATACCTTTATACAAATTATGCAAAAGTTTGACTTGATATGTCCATTGAAAGTAAGCTCTGTAAACGATGAGCAAAGTCGTGAGTTTTTTGTGCCGTGTATGCTTCCAAAATTTGATAAGAAAAATGTGAGCAAAGAACCAGTAGTTTGTAAGCCAATTTACTATACATTTCGTTTTCTCCCAAACGGACTCTTTCATAGACTTATCGCAAAGCTTTGTTTCGAGAAAATCAGAGAATGGCCATTATGCGACCCCACATTTCGTTTTCTCCCAAACGGACTCTTTCATAGACTTATCCCAGAGCTTTGTTTCGAGAAAATCAGAGAATGGCCATTATGCGAGCCCAATTTGTTCTTTGATTATGCCCGTTTTAAAGCTGGCAAATTCCATTTCTTCACAGTATGGAAAAAAGACAATTATATCAAATTAAATATTCACATGTTTGATAAGAAAATAAAGGATATGAGCGCGTACCCCGTATGTATCGACATTCGAGAGAAAATAGAGGCAACATTGGACTCTATCATACATATGTATTGCCCAAGTGTAGTGTACGAGGTAGCCGTGAAATGTGAGTTTGAAGAGAATTGTTTAATGGCTGTCTCTGAGAAGGACGTTGTAGAAAATAATGGGAAATTGTGTGACAAGCATGGCAACTTCAATGACCTCGAGCCATATAGGCCATGGTTCTCAAATAGACCTGTAAGTATAATGATAGGCCCAACTTTAGTTTGTTATATGTCATATAATCCATGGTATAAAATTTCTAGGACGCCTTATAAAGGAGATGGTAACACAATATAGCACAGCGATATTTTACCTTATATTTACATATCTACAGGGTAGGCAAATAAAATTTGGAACATTTTTCTATTCAATCAATTTTCTTAATTATTGCAGTTCAATCCACAAAGATTCAGATAATGGTAAAATGATTATTTGAGAAAATGTTAAAGATAAAATTACGTATGTATAATTATTAGCTTGACATAGTCAGGATCTGTATACTGCGTGTGTCATGAAAAATTTTCTCTGCTTGAGACATTACTCCTGAAAAGAAGTATTTCTCATACCACACAATATATTCCCTTCAAATGGTCACTACACGATTTCCATCAATCAAAACATACGACTATCTCTAGGAGAAGCTAGACATGTCTCCCTTCGATAGTATAGCTTAACTCACCTCAGCCTTTTTCAAACCTGGCACAATATGTCTCGAAACCTATCATTTAAGTCAGATATGACTGTCAATTGCAGCTATGACTGATTATTCAGGTGGGTGGACCAAATAATTAGAACATTTTTCCATGAATTGTAACTTTTTGTCTGTCGCATATTATCTTCAATAGTTTAGGAAATTGAACAATTATGTTTCAGTCTTGGCTGCATTTGACAGTCATTTCTGGCTTAAATGATATGTTTTGAGACATATTGTGCCAGTTTTAAAAAAAGCTGAGGTCAGTTAAGTTATATTTTCCAAGGGAGACATGTCTAGCTGCTCCTAGAAATATTAATGAATGTTTAGATTGATGGAAATTGTGTTGAGCCCATTTGATGGGCTCATATTGTGTGGTTTTAAAGATACTGTATTTTCAGCAGTAATGTCTCTAGCAGAGACTTATACAAGGTATATATATATATATATATAATAAAATTTAAATAAAAACATAAGATGATTTCATTTCATTGTAACTAAGAATTTCTCCATCTAAAATGTCACTCGACTTTTTGGCAATTAAAAGTCCCTGCCTGCATTTAGTAGTCATATATTGTCATGTGCATAATTTTGAAATCATATCCTAATTATTTCACAAACCCTTTGTTGATTCTGCCATAGTTTCCAATTTGTAAACAGCATTTAGCCTTTTTAATTGGGAACTTTTTTGAAATTTCGAAAATGGCTGCCATGTGATTCCAGAATTAACATGAGCAACAAGATTTTTGATAAAATCGCACAGAATTACCCTGATTAACACCCTTAAAATCAAATTTTCAAAGAATATATTTGGAGAAACAATAAATGGTAAGTGGAATAAATTAGAAAATGGTTTAAAGTTACCACAGAAGTCAATATGAAACTCAAGAATGCTTTCTTTGACTCATAATCACAAAAAAGTCGAGTGACATTTTAGATGGAGAATTTTTTAGTTCCTTGTTCAAATCCTCAGGCAACTGACAGAAAAACGCAGAATGACGTTATTAAATCAATATCGTCATAAAATACATACCTGTGCAGGTATAATTCTAATTTATGTATGACATCATTAATTTTACATAAGAAACCAATGTTTCATTTTGTTGATTGACAACGAGAAAGACTTTTTACTTAATTTAGGTTTAAATATATTAATAAAATGTTCCTCGTATTTCAGTCTAAGTGTTAAATCGTCCTTTTGTATTTAAAAAAAATGGTAAGATTTTAAATTTTATATCCATTTTTTGAGCACAGTTAGAGATATGATCGCTCACAGGCAGCATTCTGACAGTTTCATCATTAATGTGCTGTCTTCGGACTCTGACACGGTTTCTAAGCGTATCTCCTGTTTGTCCAATATATATTTCATCACATCCTAGACATATCAACGCATACAGTACATTGCTAGAATCGCATGTCGTGTGGTTTTTAGGAGCTATTATTTTCTCTTTATAAGAGAAATGTCCTTCTTGAAGTATATGAATACAGCAGCTGCACCTCTTGTTTTTACAATTTTTAACCAATATTTTTATTTTTGAAGATGCGATTGATATAGGTATCCATTATATTACATATTTATCATTGCTTTATGTTTTATAAAACAAAAACAGTTATCTCTTGTTTGATTCCTCCTGATGATAGAAATGAATTGTTTAAATATTTTTTTTATAAAATTATTTATTCAAAAACATAAACGCAAAGTACATAAACACAAAACAATACTTGAATCAATAAAACTATGCAAAACGGTAATATATATTATATCCTGGATTAGAATTTTAACAATAGTAAATTAGCATTTACACAGCATTATATATACTCTATCAAAATTTTGATCCTTATACAATAATAAAAGTAGGAAATCCATTCAATCTTAGTAAGCAGCAAAGGCATTTATAATTTTCTTTTAAAATTTGCTTGTTTATATTGAGTTGGATTGTCCGAGTTTTTTGTCCAAATTTCGTGAATACATTTCATCAATATTGTGTAAAGCAACATTCTAAATTCTAATTTGCTCTTCATGTTTTGGTAGTAATATCCACCTTTAGTGTTTCACTTAGAATATTCCATAGATTTTTAATTAACGCACAATCATATAATAGATGTCTAGTGTCTTGTACAACATTACATTCGCTACATTCTTTTGGTACATTCATATTCCACTTATTTACCAGTTTTTCACAGGCTAAGAAATTATGTAATAGTTTAGAGTTAAATTTTGATAACTTTTGGCATTCAAATATCTTTTATCTTGTTTATATATATATTTCTAAAAGTGATTCTATCGTTCTGAATATTGAACGATTTTGTCCAATCTGCTTCCACCTTTGGTCTAATAAATTTATCTTTAAATAGGATTTTATAAAAGAACTTTGAACTTAATTTCTCAAGGTTTTCATATTTGTCATTTCTAAATAGGAAAGAGTTTGTCTGCCTTCTGTTAGCATATTTCATACTTTGTTTACTCTCATATTTAATATTGTGCAAAGGAAGACTAATTTTCAAATATTCGGTCATCCAATTTTGCTTATTCTTTAATCTTAGCAAAACAGTTTTCTCATCAATGAGATTATTTCTCTCGTCAAAAAAGTCCTTGACATAAATAAAACCTGCATTTATCCAATTTTTCATGTATAAAGTTTCTTTCCTACATAAAAACCGTTTGTTTAGCGAGAAAACTTCTGTTCCAGGATGTATATTTTTTCTCTATTTCCTTACATCTATTGTATGCACAAAAGACATGTTTGTAGAACTTATAATGATCTAAAATCTTAACATTTTCGTCAAAATTTGTTTTGTAAAAATCGTTTATTGTAAAACCAAGCTTATTTACGATAAATTCTGGAATTATTTTAACTAATGTGTTTGTTGTTTTTATACGAGGTGCCCATGCAGCTTTTAAAGCATCAATTTTACATTGAATGTCTACCAGATTAATCCCCCCCCCCCATCAAGTATATTTCCAATTAAAGTATTTCGTTTTACCCAATCCTTTTTCCATAGAAAACAGAAAATAATTTTATTGATTCTTTTAACAATATCATCGGGTACATCTAGAATACTTAAATTGTCCACTAATTTTGAAATTCCAAGAGTGTTAATAACATGTGCTTTGCCAAAGAGGGTCAGTTTCCTTTTTTTCCATGATTCAAAAAGTTTTTCAAAATTGTTAATCTTGTTGTCCCAGTTTTTTTTTGCACAAAGTTTTGTCATTTCCAATATATATTCCCAGATATTTTACAGGTTTTACTCCAAAATGACCTCCAAGTTATGGTAACAGGACAACTCATCCCTAAGACAACTCATCCCAAGACAACTCATCCCCAAGACATCTCATCCCAAGACAACTCATCCAAAGACATCTCATCCCAAGACATCTCATCCCAAGACAACTCATCCCAAGACATCTCATCCCAAGACATCTCATCCCAAGACAACTCATCCCCTAGACAACTCTACCCAACTTGAAATATAACATAATTTATACAATTAATTTTCACTTTTGAAAGAATGAAAAATATTTAGAGATTTTAGCAGTTAGCACACTACTCATGGAATATTTTTTTTATAATATACATTTTCATGCTGTATTTTTAACTGACACATTTCATATTTTGTCATGCTGTATTTACTTAATATTTTTGTATTTTGTAGTTGGTTTAGCCTAGTTTTAGTTATTTTTTGTCGACTGATTGGGATAAAGTTAAACATGTTCAAATTAATATATACTTTGATAATTAAATCAAAGATCATCAAAGGTGTTGGATTAACTCAGTTAGAATGTATTATCCAAGGTGCTATCAGAATAATTCTCTCAGATTAATTCAGTCTTTGTTTAAAAATATTTTGGCCTAAGCCAATTTCAAACTTTAAGATTCATGATGATTAAATTTGGAAATAATGTCTATGACTTTTATGTTCAATTCTATATTCTCAAATATATTTAGAAAACCCCAGAATTAATCAAAATAGCGGCAGTACTAACAAATAAAACATAACTTTCAAGTACCATTCAAAACGCTAAAAATCAGTATTAAAAATTGAGTGTGTAATCAAAAATCACTTTGTAATCATAAAAATGAAAAAGGGATATATATAATATAGAGGACAAAATAATTTATCAATTATACAAGTGGGATGAGTTGTCTTGGGATGAGATGTCTTGGGATGAGATGTCTTGGGATGAGTTGTCTTGGGATGAGATGTCTTGGGATGAGTTGTCTTGGGGATGACTTGTCTTGGGATGAGTTGTCTTAGGGATGAGTTGTCTTGGGATGAGTTGTCTAGAAACCCAAGTTACCTACCCATATTCCCTCAGTTTTGTCCATATTTAAATTAAGTCCAGATATTTCAGAAAAATTATTTATTTCTTTAAGTGCTTCATGAATAGATTCTTTAGTTGACAATGTGAGGGTGGTATCATCTGCATGTTGAATTACTTTTATTTCTTTTTGTCAATTTTAATTCCTTTAATTTTGTCATTTTTTCTCAGCTTATTTGCCAT